GGGACCCCGCCGTCGGCCTGGCCGCGGCTCCCACCGCTGCTGAACGCCCCAGGGCCTCCCGTTTAGCTCTATGCCTTAAAACCTCAAAGAAGTACTTTGGGTGCCTGAAATATTTATTTTGTTTCTTTTCAACTGGCAATACCAGCCGCTGCGAGAGAACCCTCTGAACACAAGAGCTCCAAAGCGAACCTTCCGCCTTTAAGCTTTGCAATACATACATAAAATACAGACTTCAAACAGCTGCAAAAATAGTGTCTTTGGAAGAAAACAGAGTTTCTACATCAGGTACAAGAGAACGGGCTGCTTCAGTACAGCCCAGGGCCTTTGCAACAGAACACAAAATCAAACGCTTTTGTTGTCCAGAGGCTTTACAATCAACGCTCCCGTGTCATCGCTTCGCCTTCCAAGGCACCGCGGCGGGACGGCGCTGCTGGGCGCCGCAGCGCTTCGGCCTCCAGCCCCGCCGCGGTGCGCTGCCCGTTTTCACTTCCACCCCCTCGTCCCGCAGCACGGCCGAGGCGCCTGGGAGACCCTTGCCCGCCCACAGGGCGCCCGGGCGGGCAGCCTCACCCCCCTCAGCCACGCAAGCCTCCCGGAGCCCGGATGGGCGAAGCTGCGTTCAGCCCCCCGCGCTCCTCCCCGCTTAGCACGGCCTTCCGGAAGCTCCAGGCTTGTTTGGAGGGGTAAAGGTGTCCAGGGGAGGCACGGTCAGGGACCCGCTGCTCCCCGGCCCTCTGCGCTCCGAGACGAGCTGCCTTAATAGCGCAGACACCCAACGTGTTCTGCCCCAACACACCCCTCCTCCCCCCCTCCCGGGGTCCAGCGACCCCAGATGGCCGCAGGGGCGAGGGGTGGAAGCCCCACCTGAACCCTCCCAGCTCAACCTCGTTCACGGAGCCGTGGAGCACGAGTTTGCCTCTGCCCCCCGCAGCAGCGCCCGACTGCTCTTCACCGGCAAAACAATCACACGGGAAACAAAGACAATTCAACAGAGGAAAGTGCTTTGAACAGGGGAGGCTCGGAGAAACGAGCCTCCCCGGCAGCGAGGAGTCCCGTGGCACGCTGTACTCCACAGTCTGTCATCCCCAGAGGAAGCCTGCTGCGGTTCTCGATCCCGGGGCCGCCTGTCACATCCCACCTTCAAGGCGCCAGCCTCCACGGGCTGGCAGAGCCGCGCGGAGGAGCCAGAGCTGCTGTTGCTGGCTAGCCTTCCCCAAGGCTTCACACCACGAGAGAGCTGTGGAAGACG